AAGATCAACCAGGATTCTACTGCTTAATTGAGTTCCAGTTGAACAGAGAAAGAACTGTCACAGTTTCCTTGTTTAAGGAGACTCAATATTTAATGGTCATAATAGTGGATTTATTTATTTATTAATTAAATTTATTATGCCATTAACTTATTATTTATGCATGTTAATTAATTATGTTCTTGCATGTGACTAATTTAGTATTGCAAGATTAATTATACATGTTAATTAATTATGTAATGCATAGGATTAATTTGGAATTGTGTCAATAAATTATGCATGTAATTAATTATTGCACTGGCATGGATTAATTTAGAATTGCATAAATTATTGAACATGTTAATTAATTATTGCATTGACATAGATTAATTTAGAATTGCATGAATTAATATACATGTTAGTTAATTATTGCATTAACATAGATTAATTTGGAATTGTATAAATAGTTAAAAATCCTCATTAAATTATACTAAGTTTGAGAAGGGATTTTAAATTAAAGTTAATTATAAAATTCCTAAGGCCTCCATTTCTAATTTGTCGATAAATCAATTAATTGCGGTAATGGGCTCCCCCACGGGTGACATTGCTAAAATTGGTTGTAGGAAATTACCAGGACAAATTTCTAAAAGTAGACGATTAGAGGGAATCTTAAGAGAGCGCAAGGGCCTCCCCACGGGGGACATGCAATCAATTTTGACAACCTCAGAATCGAGAAATGGGATTCACTTAGAATGCGATTTATCTATAAACTCCCTATGGGGTCCCTAGATTTATTGCATGGCCAAATGGAGACCGACTATTAATTTCTTTTTTTTTTTTTTCAAACGATAGGAGATGCTCATAAAATAAAACATAGTTTGGTACAAGACCGCGGTGCCTACCAACGGGTAGAAATGAAAATGGAAGACACACTACAAGCAGTGGTCTAGATACAAACCCACCCGGGGTATCAAGCAGGTACAATCACCCGAAACTTGACACACCTCCAACAAAAGAACATAACAGAAAGACACCAACCAAACAAACTAGAAAACAGAGCTACACTAACACCTAACAATCCAGAAACAAAATGCACCCTGAAACAAGAAAACAACACTAATCCCTGCACCCTCAACAAGAAAAGACAGTAAAGAGGAACTGAGTCAGCAGATTGATCTGAATTCCTGCCATTCCTTCAATGCTTTTTTAATGATGATGTGCTTAGGTATATTCTCCTTGTTAAAAACCCACAGATTTCTCGATCGCCATAGCCACCATAGGATATATGTCGACTACTGGATTCTTGCTTCAGAGGTTTCAGTTTTGTTAATGGCACAAACCTGCCACCACCATCCTTTGAAATTTGTATCTTGCAGATTAATGCCATCCCAATAAACTGGGGCCATCTTCCACACAGTTGAAGCTTTGTGACAATGAAAAAATAGGTGTTTTATGGTTTCTTCAGCTTCTCCACAAACTGAGCATATAGCATCCACCTCCATCCCTTTTCTGAACAGGTTCACCCCAACAAGCAACACACCATTGAAACACTTCCAGACAAAGTGTTTAATTCTGCCTCTGACTTTCAATTTTCAGCTTCTATCCCTCACAGACATGTCCACTTCCTTAGACCTGCTGCCCTCAGCAATATCAAGTGACAACATTTTCTCCTTGACCAAATGGGAGTAGGAGTCAGCCACTGTAAATTCTCCCTTTTTGTTCAATCCCCACTTCCACTTATCAATTCTGTTAGGAGCTATTGTATTAATATTCAGAATGGCTTCACTCACTTGCTAGGAAAAGAGTTGTTTCACCAAATCAGAGTTCCACCTCCTTCCAGAGTCATCAAACAGCTCATAGACCCAAGTAAGGCTCAATGCGTTCTCCTGAAGGAAGAGTGGAGCAGCACCACCAAGACCAGGTATCCATCCTTCATCTGAAATCTTGGTACTTGTTCATGATCTTATTTCTTTCCAGCAAAAGGACTTGAAGACATGAAGCATTTTCAACCAGTTTGACCAAAGCTAAGAGGAAAATTCTTTTCTGACTGCTTGAAAGATAGATGAATTTGGGAAGCACATGCTCTTTAGAATTTGGGAAATAAGCAGGTCTGGCAAGTTTGTGATTCTCTATAACTGCTTCAATAGAAGGGCTTCATTGAATAGTTTAAAGTCTTGAAATCCTAAACCCCCTTGGACTTTAGGCAGAGTGAGTAGGTTCCAGTTCTTCCAATGAATTCCTTTCTCTGGAGTTCCCCCTTTATTCCACCAGAACATTGTTGTCATGCTTGCTAATTCCTTACAAATCCCTGCTGTGAGCTTAAAACAGGACATTGCAAAAACTGGAAGGGAGTTTATCACTGCTTTGATTAACACCTCCTTTTCAGCTGTAGATAGATACTTGTTCTTCCAACTAACCAGTCTTTTTCTAACAGATTCAGTAACAAAAGCAAAGGCCTCCTTCTTTGATTTTCCTATGCCAAATGGCAACCCTAGATATCTAGAAGAGTTATGAGCAGTCAGTACATGAAGTATCTCACAGATATTGGTTTTGACTAGAGGCAATGCATTCTTGCTAAAGAAGACTGTTGACTTGGTCAGGTTGACTTTTTGCCCAGAGAACTGTTCATACACCTGCAATATATCCATAAGCAATAGAGCATGTCCCATATCAGCTTTGCAAAAGACAAGAAGGTCATCAGCAAATAAGAGATGTGTCAGCAAAGGTCCTCCCCTAGCCAGTCTCAGTCCCTTAAATCCACCATCAACAGCAACAGAGCAAATAAGAGCAGATAGTGCTTCAGAGACAACCAAGAAGAGATAAGGAGAAATTGGGTCTCCTTGTCTCAGTCCTTGAGAAGGCTGCACATATCCCACTGCCTCCCCATTAAGAATGAATGAAAAGCTGGCTGAAGACACACAGTACATCACCTATTTGACAAAAGTCTCAGCAAAGCCCATTTTTAACGTTAATCTACTCAGACAACTCCATTCAACTCGGCCATATGCTTTCATCATGTCGAGTTTTAAGGCCATAAAGTTGTGCTTCCCAGATATGTGTCTGGTTAGATAGTGATAGCGTTCCTGTGCAATGATAACATTGTCTAGCAATGGCCTACCAGGTATAAATTCCCCTTGAGCTATGCTAATACAATGATGAAGGCAATTCTTTAACCTGGTGGCAAGGATCTTTGAGATTATTTTGTATGCCACTGCACAGAGACTGATGGGCCTGTACTGGTTGAGAGAAGTTGGATTCTCACATTTGGGGATCAGTGTCACCAGAGTATGGTTCCAATATTTAAGAAATAAACCTGAAAGGAAGAAGCTTTTGATGGCTGCACAGAGGTCATGCTGGATAACTGGCCAAAAATGCTGGTAAAACAAGGCAGTCATCCCTTCTTCACCAGGTGCCTTCTTTTGATGGTTGCACAGAGGTCATGCTGGATAAATGGCCAAAAATGCTGGTAAAACAAGGTAGTCATCCCTTCTTCACTTGGTGCCTGCAGAGGATTCATAGAAAAAAGGCAGTTTTTAATTTCCTCCTCTTCAATTGCAGTAGTTAGTTCCAGGTTCATCTCATGTGTGATAGTTTGAGGGATAAGATGAAGTATTCTCTCCTCTCCCCTGGACTCTTCTGTGGTAAATAGTTTCTTGTAGAATAGTGAGATATGATCTTGGATCTCCTCCTTTGATTCTAATACTCTGTTCCTCTCATCAATCATTCTGGTGATAGCATTCCTCTTTCTCCTTTAGACAGTCACTGCATTAAAATATCTGGATTTCTGATCACCCTCCTTAAGCCACATATTTCTAGATTTTTGTTGCCAAAACAATTCCTCAGAGCAGTGAGCATCTTCCAATTCTTTCTTGAGATTTCCCACTCTTCCCAGTTTTTACCATTGCCAAGCTGTCTCATTTCCTCTAGCTTTAAGGTCAAGGTTGCAATCTTTTTTCTATTGTCTGTGCCAATCTGAGAGCTCCATTCAGATAATGCCATTCTTGTCACTCTAACTTTCTCTTTCAATTGGTAGAAAGGTGTGCCCAACTGAATGTGAGTCCAAGCTTTTGTAACAACATCCCATATCCCATGAGAAGAGATCCATCTTTTGTCAAATCTGAATCTCCTTTTACATTTGGCCTGAGTTACTTCAGCTTGCAGTGTAAGCATCCCATGGTCTGAGGCACTCTTAAACAGATTTTGCGTCTAGGTACTCGAGTATTTAGTCATCCATCCTAAGGAGCCAAATGCAGTGTCCAACTTCTCCTCAACAATGCCTTCCTCTACCCTGTTGTTGCACTAAGTAAACTGATAGCCTCTCATGCTGATTTCAATCATTCTCATGTTAGAAATAAAATTCTTGAATGGCAGTAAGCACCTTTCAGATCTAGATCGACCCTCTTGCTTATGCTCTGCAGCAGATAAATCATTCCAGTCTCCAATCAAGCACCAAACTTCTCCCAAATTTTGCTTGTCATTGAGTAATAATTGCCATTGGGTTAACCTGGTTGACAGCTCAGTGCTCATATACACAAACACAAGCCATCATGGCTCATTATCACTAGACAACTTGTACTGAACTTGGATAAAAAAATTAGACTGAATCACTTGCAAAACTATCACATTCAAGTCCCAACCAACAACAACCCACCTCTACTCCCATCAGGTTCCACAAAACATACTCTATCCTCATATTCTAGCTTATTACAAATCAAAGCAGTAAAATTTTTGTTCTTTTTTATTTCTGATGAAAGTAAAAACTTTGGGTGGTGAGTATTTAAGGCCTCTCGAATTTGGGGAACTGTAGAGGGGCCACCCAAACCACTACAGTTTCACACCAGGGCTAACATTTATCACCCTGGGGCCAATTATGGCTAGCTACCACCACCTCTTTACCTGATAGTTTGGCTCTCTTGTTTTCCATACCCTGGCTTTGGCTAATTTGCTCCCCTTCCATTTGGATATGAGCTTCTCCTCTCCTTTTCTTTGATCCACATGGTATATCCTGAGGGCTGGTCGGCTGATCATTTCTTGCCAGTCTTCCCACCTTTGTTAAAGTTCTTTTCAACATTTTCCATCTTGGTTGCTTTTTGAGAGCCTCATGGTTCTGGCCTTCTGGTTCTGCCTGCTCTTGCATTTCCATTCTAACTTCTTCTTCTTCTGGTATTAGCTCCAGACTCCAATCTCTCTCTTGTGCTGGGCAGTGAGGTGTGGAGAGATTTTTCTCTTTCCCTGACTCTGCATTATCTCCCATCTTGACTATCGATGATGAAGATTCCACCATAGCGAAGTTATTTGGAGAGTTTAGTGGCATGTCCTCTTCATTGGCCTGTTGGCTCTGAGATTGCTCTCTCTGCTCAGATGATAAATTTGGTTCTAGTGGACGGTTCATAGATGGATCACTATTATTGCTGACTGATTGTGATTCTGAAATGATAACTTCTTCTGCCGCCCTCATCCACTCACCATATTGTCCCTCTCTGGTTTCTTTCTTGGATATATCCTCCATCTTCTGAGAGCAGTTTTTATCGACATGCCCCAACTTCCCACAGTAGTAACACAGGCTCACGATTTTCTCTTATTTAAATAGGACTGTTACCGTTTGCTCCTCTAATCTAATGGTTGACCATCTGGGAAGGGGTTCCTTGAGATCCAGCGTCACCTGCATTCTTATAATGCGTCCTCCTTGGAACCCAGCTCTAGCCAAAATGACATTCTTGATATCTTTGAAGGCTCTACCTAATTTTCTCCCAACCTCTATGCTCATCCAATCAATCGGTACTCCATGAGCTTGGACTCAGATTGTTATTTCCCCAAACTTTGGGTGTTTCTCTATTAGCCCCGGTTGCCATGGTTGGAGGAGGAGGTACTGGTTTTCGAAAATCCAGCTTCTTCCCAGGTCCACCCTTTTCATCGCTTCACAGGTTGGAAATAGGAACTGGAAATAGTTTGCGTTGAGTTCTCTGACCTCTAGCGTATTCCCCATTCTCCACAGCAATCCCATAGTGCGTTTGATTCCCATCCAATTAGCTTTTTTCTCACCTACCACTTTCCCAAACAGGCTTCTCTTACATTCCTTTACACTGAATCGCACATCCTTCTTCTCTATATCAATAATAGTTTCTCAGCTTCTGCGATCGATATTTTCCCTAATCTTAACCCCTATTTCATCCTCCATTATCTCACTATACTGCAATTAGATCCCGACGAGTCTACCTCGATCCCTTTGCAATCCGTACCCACCTCCGAACAGCAAAGAAGAACACTCCAATCGGAGATCAAACTCTCAACACGAGAGAAGAACCTCTCCTAGTGAGAGAAAATCATTATAGAATAAATTCGCTATGACCTGCTGCCGACTATTAATTTCGTTCGTCATGAATTTGGTTTTGACTTATGGAAATTAATGGGCCCTTGATAAGTCCTTCTCTTACAAAATGTCAGTTTGTAGGGCGACCCACGTAGCATGCATTCTCACGAGGTGTAATAGATTTCGGTGAATTTAAGTTAATATTTTTTTGAGGATATCGATATTGGCAGTTAAATTCATAAGTGGTTAATCTGTAAAAATATTTGCATGATTCTCAGGATATTCATCATGTCGTTCAATCCGTTGTCTGTCATTCTAAAAGAAAATCAGCTTACTGGTCCTAATTACATTGATTGGAAGAGGAACTTAGACATAGTGTTGACTGCTGAGGGTTATAAGTTTGCTATCACTGATGCTTGCCCGGCGGTGTCGGCGGCTAATGCTCCTGAGCAGGAGAAAGAGGAGTATGCTCGGTGGAAGAAGGCTGATGAGATGGAAAAGTGTTACATTCTGGCTTCTATGTCGAATGTTTTTCAACATCTGCATCAGTCTAAGGACACTGCAGCAGATATACTTCTCAATCTCAGGGATCTGTTCGGACATCAGACTAGGGCTGCTAGGCAAAAGGCTTTGAGTGCTCTGATGAGTACGCGCATGGCCGAGGGCACACTCGTAAGGGAGCACTCCCTCAGGGTTATGGCGCAACTCAATGAGCTTGAGGTTATGGGAGGTTATATTGACGGGGAAACCTAGGTTGATATTATGCTACAGTCGGCGGAGGCCTTATTCACTCAGGCACCTCAGGTGCTAGTCGCCGAGCAGGCTGGGCCTTCCAGGCCTCACAAGGGCAGGACACTAGTGGAAAAAACACTTTTCACATCGGTTAAAAATCATATTCACATCGGTTAAAATCCGTTTTTAAAACCGATGTTGAAACACGAGATGTTAAAAGTCTGTCTTTTTTACATCGGTTAAAAACCGATGTAAAAAAAGTTGTTTACATCGGTTTTACCAAACAACCGATGTTCTAAGGGAAAATATTAGGTCTCAAAAAAGGAAAAAATCGATCATATTAACATAAGTTTCTATACAACTGATGTAAAGTAAGACATTTAACATCGGTTTTTATACAAACCGATGTAAAAAAGTTGAATATACATCAGTTTTTGATAAAAACCGATGTAAATAAAGACATATTACAGCAGTTATCAAATAACCGATGTCATATTACTCGGATTCACATCGGTTATTATGAAAACCGACGTCAAACCTTTTTGTCGAAATACTCTTCTTGCATCGGCTTTATAAAAACCGATGTAAAATAAAGCATACATTTTTTTTTACCTATAAATCTAAAAATCTATTATTGCAAAATAACAACATTCATACATTCAAAATATTCTCACGATTCAACAGAAACCCACATGACAAATACTAACAACCAAAATATTTCAACATCGCCAAGTTATAACAATAATTTTCATATGCATTACACCAACAATAGTCATCAACCACAGTTATAAAGTTCAGATTCCATAAAACGTAAGCAAACTGATAAGTCTATTTTCCTAATGAAGTAACCACAAGAAAGTACTTCGTTCACCGCATATTTTTATTTTCAATGTCCTCGTCCGAATATGGCTCATCAATGTTGAAAGCCTACATGATACAAACAAATATTATCACTATAACATGTATTGAATTGTGCGATTTCAAATACAACAAAAAATTCATTTTAATAAAAAACTTACCTCTTCGAATGAGTCGGTAATGTTAAGTGATATAATCTCGAGCATATACCGCATAACAAAATATCCACATTCTTTATCTCCCAATTGTTTTCGACACTTGTATGAAAAACATAAAAACATCATTTATACTACACAAATTAAATCGATGCATACAACCAACAAGGAAATAATAAAAATCTCCAAAATCAAAACATCTAACATCATTCAATAAATTTACCTTAAGTGGAACCCATTTAGGCTTCAGGCTACGTTTTTCCTTAACCATGAAGTATGTACAAAATGCACTGCAACATAATAAGTATTCATATTACTTAAAAGACAAAATAAGCCAAAATGTAAAAGATAATATATTTGAAATACATTTAGCAAAGAAAAGTTAACTACAAAATCGATCTAATTTATCAATTTAAAAACAAACCTGTTAATCTTCTTTACTAACTCTATGTTGGGATCTTTTCTCAACGAGCACAACCAAACCAATTTATTTTGTTTGGGAAAAAGTATCATCAACTGCCAATGTTCTCTGTCAATCCATAAGATAAATGTATTTAATTGATACACTTTTTAATTTGTATCTCTATATAATGTTAATAAAAATAAAATAAAGCAAGGATAAAGTGAATTTTATATGTTTTTATATTCTTACTCGCTAATGTACGGGGTAAAGATACACTCGTAATTTTTTTTCTTCCATTCTTCTCGCAATATACCCTTCTATCTCTTCCTTATTATACCCTTCTCGCAATATACACTTCTATCTCTTCCATTCTTCTCACAAATAAAGCACATAAATTTTTCTAACTCTCACATAACACTAATAAGGCCTCTAAACTGATATTAATACTCTGAAAATGAACACAATTCAGCATATAAAAACATCTCAGTCAGGCTCAGGAAAACCAACACAAACAAAGACTTATACTCAACATAATTGATTCTTTTTTCCCTTCCATTTTCTTTCTTTCTTACGCAAAAAGAAACCAATTGTAAGGCTATCAACCTGATCAACGGCACCAAACACAAGACATACAACCTCCTCTTTTTTCAACAAACTAAAGCATGCTTAACAACGCAATAAAACTCAGCCAAATAACATATAGCAGCATGGTAAAAACATCACATCAAGGACGCTTTTCTTTTCCTTTTTCCTCAAACATTAAGCCACACAACTTAACACTTAAGAACTGAAATTAAAACTCTGGCATATCCTAACTTTCATCATGTATAACACATATTAATGTGCAGCAAAACAAGGCAACCTACTCAGCCAAATAACACAAGAACCAATTCATTTACCTCTTCAACTTCAAGCCTAAAACAACAACCAGTATCTCTCTTTTCCTCTACTCTTTTCCTAAACTCAAATCAACAAATAATCATCCTCAGAACTGAAAATAATACCCTGATAACTACTCAGTTTCAGCAATTTAAACGACACAGCCAAAACAAATCATAAATTGCTCTCTTTAGCCTTAACTCTTAAACTCAAGCCTGCTGAAACAAAATCCCATAAAAATGAAACTAAATCATACAAAAGAACATTACTCAGCCATTTTGAATGCAAAAAAAGGTTCAGCTGTTGTACCTTTCTTAGCTGATAAATAAAGAAGGAAGGAACAGGGCTCGGTGCTCTCGAAATAGCTCGACCTGATGCAGCCTGTTACCGGCACACCGGATAATTCGTGGTGCTGGAAAATTCCTCGAATTGGGTGTGCTCAGATGTTCTGCTCGGTATTTTTCGGAAGCCCGTTGGTCGCTCGACTACTCCTTTGTTCGACAGCGATACTCCTGACCTGCTCTCAGTTTTCCGATAATGCTCAGGTCTGCGGCTACCGGCGCTAGTCTCGCTCGCGTCGTTGCTGTCAGTGAGAAGTGACGAACTGTGAAGGGGCGACGGTGGAGGGTTTTGAGAGCGACAAACTGTTAAGGTGAAACTAATGGAGGTTTTTGAGTGTATAATCGATTTTCAGAAGATGGACGGGCGACTTATTAGGCTTAAGATTTATGTTTGGCAGTTTCGCGCGCACATCAAATTTGGGCGTCCTCACATCTGTTTTTTTAAATTGATGCACATTAATTTAGCCCGTCATTATTTGGGCCGTATTCACATCGGTTTATTTAAACGATGCTTGAAATTAATTTTTTTTTTTGGACCGCATTCACATCGGTTCATTTAATCGATGCTTGAAATTAATTTTTTAACATTTGTTCCACATACAACCGATGTAATAAGTGTCGCCCAGCAAATCGTTCACATCGGTTGTCTAAGAACCAATGTTCCAAATGAAAATTTATTTACGAAAATGTCGCCGTCTTTATTGTTTACATCGGTTTCGGCAAAACCGATGTCAACATCTGATGTGAAAAGTGTTTTTTGCATCGGTTTTGACAAAATCGATGTAAACAGCCGATGTGAAAAGTGTTTTTTCTACTAGTGGGAAGAGAAAGAAGTCTGCAGGAAAGACGAAGGCACAAGATGCTCCGGTTTACCCACGACCGGCCCCTCAAGGTGTGGCAAAGAAACCGAAAGGAAGATGCCACAAGTGCAACAAGTCAGGACACTGAAAGGTCGATTGTCCTCTCCTCAAGAAAGGTAACTCCTTCGTTAATGTCGTAGAAACATGTTAAGCGGTTGTATCTACCAGAACCTGGTGTGTAGATACTGGAGCCACTAATCATGTCTGCAATTCTTTGCAGGGGTTCCAGGAAACCAAGCGACTTAGGGAGGGAGAGATCACCGTCTACATGGGCAATGCTACGAAAGTGGCGGCTGTTGCAGTGGGAGACGTTACTTTATCATTTGATAGTAGTGTTTTGGTTTTGAGAGATTGCCTTTATGTTCCTAGTTTTAGAAAGAATCTTGTTTCAGTTTCTAAACTCGTTATGGATGGTTTTTCAGTTTCGTTTGATGACATGGTTATTATTCGTTTTGAAAATCGTTTTATATGTTGTGGTTCATTAGTTGGAAATTTATATGTTCTCAAACCCAACTCCCCCACAGTGCAACAAAATGAAGTGAATAATGTCATAACTACATCTAATAAGAGGAAGGAGTCTTCGTAGATGAATCAGGCACAGTTGTGGCACCTTAGACTTGGGCACATCAACCTTAGGAGGATTCAAAAGTTAGTGGCCAGTGGACATCTCGGTCCATTGGAAGAGCACTATCCAACTTGCGAATCCTGTCTGGAAGGTAAGATGGCCAAGAGGCCGTTTACGGCAAAGGGGTATAGGAGCCAAGAAGTGCTAGGATTGATTCATTTTGATTTGTGTGGTCCTATGTCGATCCAAGCTAGAGGAGGTTTCGAGTACTATGTGTCTTTCATAGATGATTACTCGAGATTTAGGTACGTTTATCTGTTGCACCGCAAGTCCGAATGCTTTGAGAAATTCAAAGAGTATCGGGCAGTTGTGGAGAAGCTTCATGGTAAATGAATCAAGTCACTTCGTTCTGATCGAGGTGGCAAATACCTCTTTGGAGAGTTCAGGACATACTTATTGGAAGCTAGAATTGAATTCCAACTGACTGTACCCAGCACGCCCCAGCAGAACGGGGTTGCAGAGCGAAGAAATAGGACTCTTATGGAGATGGTTAGGTCTATGTTGAGTTATTCGAGGTTACCAGATTCATTTTGGGGAATGGCGCTGGTAACAGCATCGTACATTCTGAACTTGGTTCCATCGAAGTCAGTTGATACTAGTCCTTACGAATTGTGGAAAGGGCGCAAGCCAGGCTTTTCACATATTCGCGTATGGGGTAGTCCTGCACACATTTTAATGCAGGAACCTGGCAAATTGGAAAAACGTTTGGAAGCATGAGTTTTCGTAGGCTATCCCAAGGAAACGAAAGGTGGATTATTTTATAGTCCCGGGGATCAGAAGGTGATCGTTTCGAGGAACGCTAGATTCTTGGAAGAAGACTATATTATGAATCATAAGCCCGTGAGTGGACTAGTCTTAGAGGAGTTAAGGGGTGAAATCGATGGTTCCCCACCGAGTGCGCAAGCAGATACATCGCATAATACTGCAACACGGCACACTAAGAGTGTACCAGGGCAAACGGTGCCTCGTCGCAGTGGGAGGTTTTCTCATTTACCCGACCGATGGATAGGTCTTGGAGAGTCATCGGACTCAGTTCAACGAAACCTAGAATCGAACCCAAGAACTTACGATGAGGCACTCCAAGATAAAGATGCAGATTCATAGAATGTTGCAATGAAAGCTGAAATGGGGTCAATGGACTCCAATCAGGTCTGGGATCTTATAGAACCACCCGATGGGGTACGACCCATTGGATGTAAGTGGATCTATAAGAGAAAGAGAGGATCGGATGGGAAGGTGCAAACCTTCAAAGCTAGGCTTGTTGCGAAAGGTTATACCCAGATCGAGGGTATTGATTATGATGAGACCTTTTCGCCAGTAGCTATGCTTAAGTCCATTTAGATTCTCTTGGCTGTAGCTGCTCATATGGACTATGAGGTCTGGAAGAGGGATGTCAAGACAGCTTTCCTTAATGGGAACCTGCAAGAAGACATCTATATGCAGCAACCAGAGGGATTCATTGCTGAAGATCATGAGCATCTAGTGTGTAAGCTTAATCGGTCTATTTATGGACTGAAACAAGTTTCGAGATCTTGGAACATCCGTTTTGATGAGGTGATCCAGTCGTACGGGTTCACTCAATGTCCGGATGAGCACTGTGTTTACGAGAAAATCAGTGGGAGCGTGGTGGTGTTTCTTGTGCTTTACGTGGATGATATACTGCTTATTGAAAATAGTAAGAAAGAGTTGTCAGCCGTAAAGGTGTAGTTGTCTAAGCAGTTTGATATAAAGGACTTAGGTGAAGCAGGACACATTCTTGGTATTAAGCTCATTAGAGACCGTAAGAAGAGAATGTTGTGCTTATCCCAGTCTTCATACATAGATATTGTCTTGGCCAGATTTAGCATGCAGGATTCCAAGAAAAGTATGTTACCTTTCAGACATGGAATATCTCTATCTAAGGAGATGTCTCCTAAGACGTCTAAGGAGATAGAGGAGATGAAGACAGTTCCTTATGCTTCGACAGTAGGAAGTCTCAAGTGTGCAATGCTGTGCACTAGGTCGGATATTAGCTACGCCGTTGGCATGGTAGCTAGATATCAAAGTAATCTTGGACGGAAACATTGGTCTGCGGTGAAGCATATACTCAAGTACCTGAGAAGGACTAAGGAGTACATGTTAGTTTATCGTGCAGACAGCTTGTTACCTCTGGGTTATAGTGATTCCGATTTCCAGTCAGATAGGGATGAAAGTAAGTCAACCTCAGGTTATGTGTTTACCTTGGGAAGTGAAGCCATTTCATGGAGGAGTGCTAAGCAGAAATGCGTGGCAGACTCCACTATGGAAGTCGAGTACATAGCAGCCTCAGAGGCAGCGAAAGAGGCAGTTTGGCTCAGGAACTTCTTAGTGTACTTAGAGGTTATATCGAGTTTGCCACGTGGATCACTATGTACTGTGATAACAGTGGAGCAGTAGCGAACTCAAAAGAACCTCGAGCCCACAGGGCAAGCAAACACATAGAGCGAAAATACCATCTGATTCGGGATATCATTGGTAGAGGAGACGTTGATGTTGCCAAGATTGCGTCAGAGGACAACCTAGCTGATCCTTTCACGAAGAGTTTGCCGGGGAAGGTCTTCGTCAAACACGTGGAAGGAATGGGAGTCATGAGCATGGCAATAGGATCGACATAGGTCTTTTAAAATAATGGATTGATAGGACTATACTGTAAAAGCGAAAGCTTTAAGTATAAGTGGGAGATTGTTAGTGTTATATACTGAAAGCTTGAGTTTGCATACTATTACACTTTTGCCCTTTATGAATGAGAATCGTGTTAGTTAAACAAGTTCTACGTTCTGTTGTTCTGCACTTAGATAGGGTGGGTCATCATCGGGCGAACCGAAGATCACTCTATCAGTCACTTGCGAACAAGCATAGTTGTTCACAACCTAGATGGACATGAACACCCCATCCGAACGGTTGTAGTGTCAACTGTACAGTTTGTCTTGACTGATTAGTTGCACTAGTATATTTATGTATTGAACAGGATCCCAAAGAGGAGAAGTTCATTTTATAATGATCGTCGTAAATGAACTAGACCTCAGTTAATTACTACGTTCTCTTAACCCGTAAGGTATTAAACAGGCATATATATATAATATATATTACTTTGATTCAAATGGGTGAGGTTCAGTTCGCTGGATTAATATTCCTAGTGTTTTGGGTAATATTATTATATATAGGATGTGCTATTAGGATATTTACGGTCACCATAAGCGTTAGTTTGGTGATGTCCCCGGAGTGAGTTCATGAAGGATTGTTATGCTAAACCCTGCAGGTAGATTAAGTTCCGGCATAATAAGAATGTGATGAACGAGCACTAGCTTCGGTGAAATAATAATAAACTAATTAATTTTTGATTGTTAGTAATCGAATTAATTAATGGACATTATATCTTAAACGTGGGGAGGTAAATCGAGTAATTATTATTGGAGTCTCAAATGTAATTTGGGCTAGGAAAAGTGAGTGCAATAATATAATGTTGGTGGCCCATTAATATTATTTAATTAATTAGAGGAGTGGGCTTGACCCACAGTTAGTCTAATTAATTAAGGAGCACTTTTCCTAATCTCCTAAGGGTCCCTACTGTAGCTCTATATATATACATCATTATGCTCATGAGAAGAGAACAGAAATCTCATTCTAACGAGACACGCCCCACGCCTCTCTCTCTCTCTAGATCTCATTCGAGTTTTATCTTCTTCTTGTTGCTCCACTGGTACAAGTTGAAGAAGGGTGTATTGAGTAATACAGTAGAAGATCTGTAGGTAAACCGAGACGAAATATATTTTGTCCTACAGAACTAACCGGAGGTCCGATTGAGACGCACAGCATACCCAGACGACCGTCTCGACGAGTGCTTTCTATCGCCGCCATCCGACGCCGCACGCGCCCTCACGCGCCTCCGGAAGGAGTCTGACTGCAAGATTCATTTTCATCCGTTTGCACCCGTTTGTTCCGGTTTTGATATGACCTTGTTCGTGCAACCCAAGACGTGATTTGCGGTCAACTGTTCGTGGTCAACCAGATCTACATAAATTTAAAGCCGTAAGTTCTCTACGTCAAACCTTTAGATCCGCTGCGCATAAGTTTACGTTTGCTATTGAATTCGTGATTTGTACATAACGAGATCTTCAGTGATCCCAACAGTACCAGCAGCGGCGTTGCGAGGCGGCAACCACAATGTGATGGGGCGACTAGGCGGCGTGAATGGGAGGCTGAGAGCGGTATCAACTGGTGCGAGTGGACGTTTGCCGTGAGCGGCGCCGGAGATGGTCGTTGAGTCGTCGGTCTGCGTGTGTGCGTGTGTGCGTCGAGTGTGTGTGTGTGTGTGTGTCGAGTGTGTGTGTAAGTGTACGTACAGTCTGTGTATGTGGGTGGCGTGCGTAATGTGTGTGTACAGAGTGTGTATTGTGTGTTTGGTGTGTGCGTGCGTGTGGTTTGTGTATGTGTGTCAATGAGAGAGAGTGAACTAGACATAAAAAGTGGTGAGTTGTCATGCGGGCCCACATGTGAGTGGGTGTGTGGTGGCATGGTCCCAATGTTGAGTATATAAAATTACTACACTACCCTTAACAAATGAATAATTTTGGGTTTTGTGTAGTCACTAGATCATCCGATCTAATGATTACGATTTATTCTTATATCTTTCATTAAGCATCATCCTCACTTGAACCCAACCCTCTATACATATATGAAACATACAATAAAGGATGGAAAAATTAATAAACTAGAGTAATATATAGGTGGGCGGCTAATTTGTCGTTTCATATAAATTCTTAATGAATTAATAGGTGAATATCTTTCAAGAAAGTTATTACATTATGATGTATTTGTCTTTTTTTTTTTCCGAAACGATAGTGAATATATATATATAACAAACGCACAAATGTGAAAAGATACAACTTGGAACGCAGCCCAAAGCTGAATAAAATGGGAGGATTGGTCTGACGACCGCCTAGAAGCCCGACACTAGCAACGCTAGAAACCAAAACAAGACACTCAAGACAACCACACAATAAACACACGGAAAATCTACAACTAAAAAGCTCCCCACAGGAGAATAGAGACAAGAGCCGCTCCCCACAGGAGAATAAATTTGTTCCCTCTCAAACTGAGGCCAACAGCCCAAACCGAAAAAACAGAACAAACACTCATACCCAGACCCAAAATACAACCTAACACAGACTCAAACGATTCAAATAACACAAAAAGAAAAAATGAGCCCTTCCACAGCAAAACAAACAGACCAAGCCAGCAGAGAGCAGTCGTTGACGAAGAAAAAGCCAAGTCCAAGGAGCCACTTCCGAAACTGTCATAAGGCCTATACAAAAGCCGAACCCGAACACGAACTAATATCCGAAAACAACCCGACACCAACCGGAGGAACAAGACGGAGTCAGCCCTCACACCAGTCCCAATCAATCCCGACTAACACCACTAGTCGAGTTCGAGAGGAACCCCTCCCCCGCCGCCTAACACCACTAGCCGGACGGAGAAGAGTGAGAGTGGCCCAGCTCCTCAACACCGGCCTCCCCGACCTTGACGAACCTCAGCACCTAGAGCAACGCTCCGCCCAGAACAATATGACCTCGTCCAAAACAACCACAACCCGTCGGCTACCAGAGCTCGAACCGACGGCAAGCTGAAGCCTTCCCGAAAGAACCCCAGTAACCTCAATCGACAACCAACACAGCCAATAGACGGAAAATACCTCAAAGGCGGCCCAAGAAAATGAATTCGATCTCAGTGAAGGATTCCGAGGTGAAGAGGCAATTCCTCGCACTGACCGCCGCAACAAGATCGCAGCTGCCAGGGCCCCGACCCATCCGCAGACCCAAGTCCCTCCCAACACCCCCCAGACCTCAGATTTGGCGACCAGCCCACAAAACCTCACCACAAGAGGCGGAATCGGGAGTGAGCGGTCGCGACAAATCGTCCGCCATCGGAAGCGCCGGAGACGAGATGGCATCCGGGATGGGTCGCGCAAT